CCCCCCCCCCCCCCCCCCCCCCCCCCCCCCCCCCCCGGGTTTTTTTTTTTTTTTTTTGCTTTGCCGTTCTGGCCGCCCCGTTTTTTTGTTTTTGTTTTTTTGCTTGGGGCAGCCAAAAAGCCAGAGCCGGCCCTGAGTACAGGCCATCAGCAGTGCCGACACCCTAATTCTTCCCCAGAGCAAGGTGAAAGAAGGGAGGGAACTGAGCCTCTGGGGGGTGTCTCTGAAGCACAGTGTCTTCTGGAGTGATGCATTTTTCACACCGTCCCTTGCTCAGGGCTGTACCTAAAGGCACAGCTAATGCTATAAGCCAGGGGTCGGCAACCTTTCAGAAGTGGTGTGCCGAGTCTTCATTTATGCACTCTGATTTAAGGTTTCCCGTGCCAGTCATACATTTTAACGTTTTTAGATGGTCTCTTTCTATACGTCTATAATATATAACGAAACTATTGTTGTATAAAAAGTAAATAAGGTTTTAAAATGTTTAAGAAGTTTCATTTAAAATTAAATTAAAATGCAGAGCCCCCCCGGACCGGTGGCCAGGACCCGGGCAGTGTGAGTGCCACTGAAAATCAGCTCGCGTGCTGCCTTTGGCACGTGTGCCATAGGTTGCCTACCCCTGCTATTAGCAAAAATGCACTTCAAGCTGAGACTGGTCTGAGGTGCAAAGCCGGGCTGGGCATGGAGATCCGATCTGGTCCTGAACTTCTCCAAACTCTGCTGATGGTCACAGAGGAGGGGTTTGGATTCTGGACCAGCTGTATTGCAGAAGGGGACCTCTTAGTGAAGACAGCAGATTCAATGCAGATTTAAGCATATATTTCATAGGCAGGCTTTTTAAACAAATGTCTGAGCCTTAAAGATCACACGTTTCAGTGCTTCCAGTCTCCATGTCAGAGCATCCTTCCACCTGGGAGAGATCCCGCTTTAGAGTCCATCAAGACTGTTCCCTACTCAGCTGGAGAGCTCGCTAAACATTGGCTTCCTTTCCCCCTGGAGCTAGAACAGCCTCTGCTCCCAGAGCAAGACTAAATTCAGCCTATGGCAGAGCATCAAACCATCACTAAACCTTCTGGAAGGATTGTCTAGGGGAGAGAGCACTAGTTTGGGATTCAGGAGGTGACAGCTCAGTGCCTGGCTCAACCACAAACTATTTATTTGGCCTTGGGCAACTCACTTAATCCATCCCGTCTCTGTTCCCCAGCTGTGAAATGGGGCTAGTACATCTCTACTTGACAGGGGTGCTGTGAGGATAATGACTTTGTGGCATTCAGACATTATCATAATGAGTGCCATATAAACTCCCGGATAGGAATCCAATCTGTCAGAATAGTGACCCAGCTTTCAGAGGGAGGTGGTTGAGAGGTGCAAGTGTGCAAGGAGGATGTTCAAAGATCTTTCTTTTGTTGCTCCTAATCCCTGTCCTGTCAGCTGTGGTTTTCCAAGGGGACTTGCTCTTGCATTGCCGAGGATAAACATGTGATTGTCTCTCTCCTATCTTTGCTTAGCGGCTGCCTCTGCAGCTAAGGAATTCCTTACAATGATTTCAGCACCCAGACAGGTTAAACCTCTGTGCAGGCCCCAGATGGGCTGGAGAGCGGAAACAGGCGTCTTCCTTCAGACTTCTGCAGCTGTGACCTCTACACCCTAAACAACGGGTTTTAAAAATAGTTCAGATCCAGCAGTCTATTGACACGGCACCCTGCTGGGGAGCCAGGGTCCAGGCTTGAACTTGGGCCCTGGCTCCGAACGAAGGCTCAGCCCGTGCCTTTGCCCTTCTGCATCAAAGGAGTTTACTGGTAACAGGGGAGCTGAGCTGTAAAAGCTCTGGCAATGCAAAGCACCCTCCTCTTTCGCTAACTTCAGAGGGAGCTAATGTGCTCAGAATCTCCCAGGATCGGACTCTGCGAGCTACGGATGTGTGATCAGGGAGATGCTGATGGTCTCAGTAAGCTGTAGGAGAATAGAAGGAGCAGATCCCCTGTAATCAGTGTGGGGAAGGGCAGGGGAATTCCATGTCATAATTATTGGGCTACAGAACATTCCTGCTGGGGCGGGGGATGGGGCGGCAGAACAGGACCATGTTAGGCAGAAATAACGCTCAGCAGATGGATAAATGAAGTGCAATGCCTGGGGGTAAAGTCTCCGTCCCAATATCACCTCACTCCCAATATCCAGTGCTCCCCTGTGGGTCAACAGCCTGGCACACCCAAGGCAAGTCCCCACAGCAGCCAGCAGAGAGCTGGGAGTCTGGGGAAGCCCTAAAATGGAGGCAAGGCGAACAGCTGAAAAAATGAGTTGGTAGCTGTGTGCTGCACAGGTGGTATCATAAGATTAAAAAACCTGGAAGCAGTTTTCCTGGCTGGTTTCTTCACTCCTAAGAAGAAACAGAAGGCACAGGCTCACAATGGATCTACCTGAGAATGAGATTTTTCCTTTCAAACAGTGTAAGGAGTAACATGCCTGAATTGTATCTATTCTTAATTCCGTGCGTTGGGTAAGAATTAGATTTCACGGTGCTTTACACTGGAGGTCAGTGTCGTTAGGGGAAGATCTCCTCCTCCCTACCCGGGACCTGAACTGATTAGATCTTTTTTTCCCCCCATCTCAGGATTCTGTGACACCTTCAATATTGACACCAAAAGGCCCCGAATCATACCAGGCTCTAAAGAAGCGTACTTTGGCTACACGGTGCAGCAGCATGAAATCGCTGGGAAGAAATGGTAAGTGAGCGCCTCTTATCCCTGTGGTCTAGCAAGTGGAAGGGTGTCATTCTCTTAAAGCCAATCTATGCAAAACGCTGTATGGTCACGCCATCTCGCTAAAGGCGTTGTCTCAGAGAAGGCAGCGTTGTGGCTTTCTGTTCTGAGAGCGACTACGAGGCAAATTCTGCTCTCCCTTACGCTGGTGTAAATCTTTGACCTTCCCTAGTGCCTTCCATCTGGGAACTCCAAGTGTGATTCACATGAGAGGTTCTGTCAGAGAGAGAGTTTGTTTCCCTTCCATAGAAGCTGATGGGTGTCGAGTTTCCAGGTCCTGCTGTTGCCTGTCATTTGTACATGGCTGGTTCCATTCCCATGAACATTACCTTCGATCTTCAGGTGGGTTCACACCTCCGGGGGTTCTCTTTGAGTTTCAGTCTGGGACTCAGAGAAAAACTCAAAGCAAAACAGCCTGGCTTTTGGTCCGAACCGTTAAGTTTTACCTGGTTTCCACCCAAATGCACAAGATAGGCCAGGTTACTTTGGGTTGGGTATGAAAGATGAAACTTGGGTGAATTTTTATCTGGCTTTAGGTTTCATGGTGAAAAGTTTCACTCCTAGCCAAGGCTGGAAAACATGAGGACAGCCTAGGATAATATGATTCACCAGATGTTAGAGACATCACTTAGTGCACTTCTGGAAGGTACTCAGATATTACAGCGATGAGGGTGGTATGAGAACCTATGCTTCATTAACACAGAGTTAAGGTTGCCCAGTGGTGCCTAGCGCTCTTCCAGAGTCCGTAAATCTCTGAAAACCCGGATATGAAGAATTTATGGTACAGGCCTCCTCCATTTCCCCCTGCCCCTAATCCCCCAACTCCCTCTACTATGTCCCCCTCATTCCTCCCACCGCTCTCCTACCATCTCCCTTAATCCCCTTCCCTACCACTCCTTATTTATCCCCCTCCCCTCGCCACAGCCTGAAGCCCCCTCTCCCTTCCCCTCCCAAACGCCACACCGCTGTACAGCTCCAGCACCCCAACACATTCTCCCTCAGTGCCCCTCCATATTCCTTTGGTTTGCACCAAACAGTTATAAGACTCTGAACATGTTCGGAGCAGCTCATGTTGGCAGGGGGTGGGTGTCTATGTACTAAGTCACAGGGGACTTGCTTTCCTTTGATCGCACTGTCCTATTGTTCAGGAAAGAGGATGACATTATCCTAACTGCTTACTAGAGTTTTTCACCTTACCTGTATTGAAGTTAATGTTAATTTCCTTGACAATACTTCTAAAGGAAAGTCTGAGTCTGTGTGTGGATTTTAAACTATTGCTCTTATCGTATGTCACCTTGAGCCACCCGGATACCGTGACAACAGACTGCCTGGACACTCTTGTTTCAACAGAGCCCTAATCTTGCTGCGTGCGCATTTCACTTTGGCACTTGCCAACCCGGAGTTACACCCCTTACCCTTAGTCACCTTTTCAATCAACCAGAAAGGGGCTGGGCACTAGCTGAGATAAGACCCAAGCAACCGAGATCAGTTTGGGGAGGATTGGAGCCATCGTTTGTGCTTTAGGTGTATGCGAAAAATCAATCAATCAATAAAAGAGATGATGATTTTGTAAAAGGCTGGGTTGGGGTTGGGAGGGGGAGGGCTGTATCTTAACAGCCTTGTTCAAATGGCACCAAATCAGACCCCTGACACGATCTGGCACCACCATGAGGCACAGCACATTTCAAGACCATCCTCGTCAGCATGTGAATTTTAGAGCATTTATAATAGCCCGCATCCAAACAGAAAATGACTCTCAACCTTAACTAAAGCAGTGCTGGTGCTATTCTAGAGACTAAACCAGACCACACCGCTTATTGTCCGGCTGCTTTCTGGGACTTGTTGCCCAGCTATGCTCGGTGCTCCCAGACGCTGCTCTCTCTGTCACGTTGTGAAGGTGCCCACACCCCAGGCGGTAACAGTTGATGTGTGCGAACGAGCTGGGGCAGCCTGCGGTTTGTGCAGAAAGTTTGCAGGGTGCAATGGGGAGGGGTCTAATGACTAGAGCAAGATCTGAGGCTTTGCATCTAAATGCTCAGTCTTTGCTATGTGTGAGGGTGGCTTTGTGCACGCTTTCCCCATGTTAATGTTGGGCTTTGCTGTCTCAGTCTGGGAGGATTGCTCTGATTATTAAGATATGCGTGAAAACCCACCAGATGAAAAGTCCTTCCCGTGGCCCCCAGATCGTCCGCTAACCCGGGGGAATTGTCTGTCTAGTCTCTTTAGAGGCACACATTCTCCCTTACAGTGTGGCCTCACATGACGTAGAGTTGGTGGAGTGGCTTTTAGGCCTCCCCCACTGCTGTTCTCATGTTCTGCCATTCCTTCACTCTGCTGCAATATGCCTCAGTGGCTTCTTTTACTTGAGTTAATGAGAGGTTCTGATTTAACCTTGGATTCCCCAGCTTTTGTCATCACAGCCTTAACATATTTAGATGCAGTTTCTTTTCTGTTTAATTTAAGGTTAGTGATCTGCCCAGACAGGCTGTCCTGTGGTGAATGACGAGTCTCTGGCTGGATTTATGCCCTGATTGCCCTAAAGCCAAAGGGATGGTGTGTTTTTCCCAAATCGTACCATATACTGCTTTAGTTAGAGACGACTGCTGGGGGCCGGAGACTTGTTAGAAACAGCAAAGGGTGACTCCATGGGCACAAGAGACCAGCCGTAGTAGTACAGTGGTGGATCAGAGCTCCGGGGTGCTGCTCGTGACTCCAGAACTCCTCGCTGTGATTCTTCTGAGATCGTTGCAGTTATATAAAGCATTGGTGTTTCCACTCTCTGGCCTCTGGTTTTCCTCACCCTACAGGAGGGGACTGGATTCAGAGAACGTAGATTGACATTCCTGTGAGAGCCGGCAATAAGGGACTGGTTTGAAAGGCGAATGGTGGCACTATTATGCGTTCACTGTTGCCAATTGAAAAGGAAAGTTTAGGTATTTAAAAGTGCCCTTTAAAACTCTTGGCTGAGACTTTCAAAACTGGGTGCCTGTATTTAAGACTGAGGTGTTTTCCTACTGCTTACATGGGACCACCAATATGCCCCAAATTATAGTTGGCTCTAGGCTTAAATTTTCAAAAATGACTCATGTTTTTTGTGTGTGTGCGCCCGACTTGAAACTCCTTATGGGGTGTGGCTTTCAGAGGGTGGGAGCACAGCACTTCCTGAAAACCAGGCCCCTTTGAGGCATCTCAACCTGGGCAAAACCACTTTTGCAAATGTGGGCACCCACGTCAGCGGCCTGATGTTCAGAAGTGCCCCCAGCTCCCCTTGACATTGACTGGATTGCTGGGTGTTGAGCCCCTCTGACGATGAGAGTCCACGTTCTTTCCATGACGCCGGTTGGCCTGTCTTCCTCCTCCTTTGGGTCACTTTATCTATTTTGGAAAGACAGAAGAAATCCTCTTACATCCTGGTATCAATGTGTGGAGACCTGTGGTTTCCATCTGAGGTGGGTAGCAGATACTTCTATTGCAGGATTTTGGTGGCTGGTGGTCCAAGTACCACGTTTAAACAGCTCATCCGCTGCATCCGTCTGCCAGCAAAGCCAGTGCAAACAAATGAACAAAGAAATGAGAGTTGCCAGCTATTTCTGTTTACTAAGAATTAATGTTTCACTCGTCGGCTTGGTCCACGCTGGGGCGGGGGATCGATCTAGGAAACGCAACTTCAGCTACGAGAATAGCGTAGCTGAAGTCGACGTTTCCTAGATCGAAATAAGTTTACTTACTGCGGGTCCACGCGGTGCAGGCAAGCTCCCCCGTCGACAGCGCTTCCTCCTCTCGGCGAGCAGGAGTTCCACAGTTGATGGGGGAGCGCTTCTGGGATCGATTTATCACGTCCAGAAGAGACGTGATAAATCGATCACAGAAGATCGATCTCTACCCGCCGAATCAGGCGGATAGTGTGGACCTAGCCGTCAAATTCCTTGTGGTTCAGGGAACAACGATGCAGCTGAAGAACCTGCTAAATCAACACCAACTGTTATTCAGCATGTGTATTAATCATACATTTTAAAATTAAACATGTGGGGAAAGAATAAACTGCATTCCCCAAATGCCACTCAATTGGGGATTTCAGTGCCATTTGCAATTGTTTGGATTATTTCTTCCCCTCTAGGAGCAACCAGTAATACTTCTCCTTGTTAAACAAGAAAGAGTGGATACTTGTGTCCACACACAGATCTCTTCATTTGGATATAAATGTTGGTATTTGCCTCCAAGGTGGTCTTTCCCAAAAACTTTGGGGAACAAAAGACCCTCTGCAGGCATGCTCACGGAAAAGCCAATAAAATGAGGAGCAAGCATGAAATAATTCCCTGACTATTCATCTTGCTCGGGTAGAGGAATAGGCAGGAATTGGCCATGTTAGGCCTGGTCTACACTACGACTTTAATTCGGATTTAGCTGCGTTAATCCGAATTAATCCTTAACCCGTCCACACAACGGAGCCAGTTACTTCGAATTAAAGGGCGCTTAAAATCGATTTCTGTACTCCACCCCGACGAGCGGAGTAGCACCAAAATCGATTTTGTAAATTCGAATTAGGGGTAGTGTGGCCGCACACCACCGAATTAATGTGGTTAAAATTAATGGGGTAGTGTGGCCGCACACCACCGAATTAATGTGGTTAAAAACCGAATTAATGTGCTTAGTGTGGCCGCGCACAATCGAATTTATACAATCTGTTTCCCAAATTCGAATTATCTAAATTCGAATTAATCTCGTAGTGTAGACGTACCCTTAGTCACATTTTCTGTGCCCAGCACCTTCCAGTAGAACTTTAGTTCAACATGGGAATAGCACCTTTTCTGTCATGATTCAAAATGCCACCAGCATTTACATGTGCATTAGATCATACAGCCTTGAATTAGGCTTGCATCAGAATTTCCTGATGATTGGAGTGTCCAAAATCCAAATCTTTCTCCTCGTGCCAATCTCTAATATAGTCAAAGCTGAGTATGAAT